CTTCATGTTGCCCTTGACCCCGCACAGGTAGGCGGTAGCCGTGCCTGCGCTGTCTGGCACATGCTTGTCCACGTTGTAAGTCTGGGGGCAGAGTCTGGGAAGTCACCCAGATCCTGACTTACCCAGGCCCTGGGGCCCATTCCCACTGATCCTGGGCCCTAACTCAGGCCCCAGCCCTTCTGGGGTCCACCCTCCTGCCAGGCTCCCTAACCCTACACCCACCCCTCTAGGGGAGAGCTCCCTGAGGTCACCCAGCCCTTACCTTGGACAGAGCCAGGTATGGGAATTGGTCCATGACCAGGGGTGTCTCAGGTCCAGGCTTGCCACTCATCTGCCCCTTCAGGATCCGAGTGGCTGTCACTGTGGACACCCCCATCCCTGAAGGTGCACATGTCAGGCCTGAGTCCCCAGGGCTGGCCTGTGTGTGCCAGAAGCCATGGGTTCTGGGTTTGTGGGAGGTATAGGAGGTGGACAAGCCTAGCACACTCACCATCCCCCAAGAAGATAATGAGATTCTTGGCAGGCGTCTGGATGGGTTGCAGCTTCTTAGCGGCTTCCAGCGCCTGGGCTGCCTGGCGGTTCCAGAAGGCTGGGTCTTCTTCCTCAACTGGCCAAGGGGAATGTTGAGGGCAGGTCAGGCTTAGGGCAGCGGCCTGAGTGTGGGGGTGGGGCATTTCTAAGTCGGGGACTGGGAGACGCCTCATTACCTGGGATGACACCAAGGGAGAGCCGAAGCTCCAGCCCCAGCAGCAGCAGCAGCACCCAGGCCCCCTGCATGCCTGTGTGATGTCGGAGGCAGGGGAGGCCGGATCTTGAGCAAGGTTGAGACACAGGGTATCAGGTTTGGTACAAGCTCTCTGAGCTTAAATCAGTGGAGAATTTCGTCCCTGCTGTAAAAGGCTCCATGTCCCTCCCAGTGCCCGCGGTGACCACACCCTGCCCTTGCCCCCATATTGCCAGAAGGAATGTGGCAGGGTGTGGCTGAGGAAGCAGGGAACCTGAAAAGGTCCATCCCTCACAGGATGGTCACCAGCTGTCTCTCAGGGGAGGGGATTACAGGGCAGATGTCCTTTGCCTGAGGGGCATTTGCAAGGTCCTGATAGGGGCCACTCCCAGGCCCCTGCTCACCAAGTCCTGTGTTAGAACCTTCACTCCTGCATTCACCTCATCTCATCAGAGCTTTCTGAAAGACAGCTTTGGTCTGGTTGGGTCTGGGTGACTAGGGAGGTACGGTTCTAAGCACCCAGCCTGGGCCAAGGGCCTGATTTGGCTTCCTGATGCTGTGAGTCAGGGTGACACCCAGGGTGGCCTGTCTGCCCTGCCAGCCACTCAGAATCTCACCAGGCCTGACTGGGCAGGTGAGGTGGTCACTGGGCTAGAAGGGGCCCCAGGAGCCAGGCCCAGAGTTCCCCTGCTGTGGAAAATGGTGGGACTGGTGGTAAAAATAGAGTGGGGACCTTGTCTGTGTCTCCAGTTACTGAAGGCTGGCTGGGCAGGCATTGCTGTGTGTGTATGTGGTGGGGGGTGGGGGGTGTTGGGATGGGGGTCTGTCAGGCAGGTTGGGACGAGTGCACTGTACATGAAGTTGACCTCTCCTCCCTTGGACAGGTAGATGGAACGCAGGGGGGAGTCTGTTCCCTCCACAGGCAGTGCACACTCACAGATACAGCTTCTGATAAGGAGCTAAGAGGTTCCAGTGGGTCCCAGGTGGGTTCAAAGTCTTATTCTAATCCAGGAATCCCACTTCTGGGTATATATTTAAAAGAATTGAAAGCAGGATCTAGGAGAGATATTTGCACACCCAGCTTGTAGCACGTGTTCACTATAGTCAAAGGTACAGGCAACACAAGTGTCCAGCAACAGGTGAATGGTTGAACAAGATGTGACAAGCTCTACAATGGATCATTACTTGTCCTTAAAAAGGAAGGAAATTCTGGAACATGCTACAACACGGATGAACCTTGAGGATGTGATGCTTAATGAAGTAAGCCCATCACAGAGATGAATACTGTGTGATTCTACTTACACTGGGTATCTCAAGTACTCAAGCGCATAGAAATAGAAAGTTGGATGGTGGCTGCCAGGAGCTGGGAGGAGGGGACTGGGGACTCCTTGTTTAATGGATGCAGAGTTTCAGTTTTGTATGGTGACAAAGTTCTGGGGATTGTGGCTCAACAATGTGAATATACTTAACACCACTGAACTGTACACCTAAAAATGGTTAAGATGATAAATTTTATGTTGTGTTGCTTTTTTTTTTTAACCACAATTAAGACTTAAAACACCTTCCTCCTGGCCTTGCCCACCTCA